CTTTGAGAATTGCCCTGTACTTTTGCCACTTTACGTGGTTCTGCACTGCGTTAGTAAAAGAAACATTTACCAGAGGTGGGTACTCACCACTCTCCATTGCCCGCAGTCCTCCGCAAGATTTCCATAAACGCCACTCCACCTAGCTTCACTGCTCTCACCCTCAGTCTTTCATTTTTCATTGCAATAGTTGATGATATTCCATAACATTTCTGACGGTTTTCTTCCTGTAGTATTCCTATTGACGCTTTAATTTTGAGTAACAGCGACTCGACAGACGCACGAGTAAGTTTCCAAATGCAGTAATGAAAAAGATCAGTATTGCTCTTGTGGCTTTCGATAGTGGCATGGGGCTTGCGTGAACGGTTCTGCGAAGTTTATAATTTGAAGCTGATCGATCAGTTCATAGTCGCATAGCGGCGGCTGCGTTGCAATTCTTCTCCTAAAGTCAGGTCACCTAATATTGCCGCACCACTGTTTTGCTGGAAGCGAGCCAAGGACTAGACCTAGTCCCAAGCATAAATTCAAGCATAGACCTAAACCTCAGCCTGAACCTAAAGTTAACACTAAGCTTCAATCACATCGATCGCATAGCTCTGGACCTGTCCTCAGGAGGAGAACTGAAAACCTCCCCATAGTGGCCAATATACTGGGATTTGATGGTGGCCTTGCTTATTCTGCTCTGGTCATGCTCTGGGAATATTGTTCACCTTATGACGCCTACTGAGTTTCACGAAAATTGCTTTCAGGGAGCTCGAATGCGCGTGTTCCTCGAGGGCGGACGAAGCGATCGTGTGGCGGAGGAACAGAAGCATATGGCGACACTACTGAAGGCCTTCCGCGTCGACTGCTCAGATCTGAACGTTATCACTGGATTCGACCTGCCACCTAGCAGATCAACGTATGGAATAGCGCATTTTTCAAAGGTCCACTGTTGTGTGAATTTTTTTTGTTCAGGATGGAAGAATTCCAAGATCTAGTGGCACCATTCAGGGACGGCGGAACAGAGAGGCGAGGTCTCATAACTGATGTGAGTTATTTTGAATTTATTAGGTGATGTTGGAGGCGAGAACGCTTCATATTTTCAAGTTTAGTGAAGCGATGTATGGTAGGCCCCTCATCACTTCCTGGAAAAATTGTGAGGGGCAAAAAAGTAGGCTAAGACGTAGGCTGGAAAGGTCATGGCTTCTCTTCTGCGTTCTCCGCCAGAACGCCGAATGAAGTGTCGCCTTCCGAACCTTCGTAATCACCAAAGAATCTAGTTGATAGACTGAGCTTTTATTTATTACAACTGTCACCCTATTATGTCCGCTTTCCCCTTCTCAGAAGAATCGAATTAAGGTGAGCCACGGTCGGGGAGTTCTCGATGAGGCGTATTATAATAGTGTTGCCTGCATGGG